GCCTCTGCATTTGGGTCCTCTAAACCACAACCAAAACGTGACAGTAACTCACTCTGCTTGCTTTTGATGTTATTCTGAATGATTAATGCGTCCGGCTTGCCTTTTGTCTTTTTTAAGTGCTTTACACTTTTCTTGCTCAGTTTATTAGTAATAAAAAAAAAAAAAAAAGCTATGAGTGGAATATTTACAATAAGATGGAGCAACTGCAGGTATGAAACTGAGCATGTGTGCAGAAACAAGGAAGCAGTGTGGCTAAGCCAGTTAGCAGATTCCAGCTCTGGGAATCCAGCCTGAACGTCGGTGTCCATACAGATAACAGATAAACCGATTGGTTGATTAGTTCCTATTGAGACGCCGTTTCCCTGTTTGCGTTTGTTAGGAAACATGAACTTTCCTTCTCTTTGATGTTCTGATAGGAGGTTCTGGTTTCCGTAGATCATTTGATTGGTCTTCAAACAAGTGTTGCCTTGCTAAAAGGCATTGAAGGACAGTCAGGGAATATTCTTTTATCACCATCTGGTTTTCTGGTAGTTCTGTGGTTCTGCCAGCAGATGGCGCCACATCTCATAGTATCCGGTGCTGAAATTCTATTAAGGCTCAAAAAAGGGAAACTAAACTCCATCAGGATGGAAGATTGATGTAAATAACTTTATTTTATAAAGTGAGTTTGCATCTTTGACCTTCATCTTTAAAGGCCGATTTATGCTTCTGACGCAAAGCCTCTGCAACCATCAAATCTGTCTCTGTGCGCGACTACGCGTCAGATGGTCATGATTGGTCCTTGGAATCCCTTTCCGCACTTGGTCATCATTCTCGATTCAGTGCCGGGGCGCGCCATTTTAAAAAAAATGAGGAACAACTACAATGGACAACTACGACGAAAGGTTGATCGAGGAGCTTCGGGAGTACGATCCGTTGAAGTTCTCGCGAGTTCTCGAATAGGCTCCCCCTTGCGGAAACTGCTGTACGTCCCTAGAAATTCCAGACAGACGTCGCAGAAGCATAGCAGCAAAACTGGTTCGCTACCAGAACTAGGCGACATTTGAAGTTTGTGGCTACAGAAGTCTAATCCGCCATTAATGGAACAGGGAGAATTTGGAAGCGTGGAAATTTCGTAACCCTTTATAGGGCAAGTTACAGTTTTTGATCACTTGCATACCCATTACAAATGGAGTCCCCCCCCCATCCCTCAGTGAGGTCTAGAAGCACTAGATCTATATCCAGCCGTTCAGCAAGGATCCTGCTACATGGCTGAACATCATATTTTGGCATTTGACCAATTAGATGAGCCCTTGAATGATAGATTACCTACTGGAAATTAAGTTGGAAAAAAGTTAACAATTCAAGAAAAAAAAGCTTATTGAAAAGTTAAAAAGTGAATAAGCCCCGTTAACAATAATATTTAGGTTTATAAACAAAAAATGTAAGTGCCAGCATCAGCATTAATGCCTCTAATTTTGTACTAAAAAAATGTGTTTCTTTCACTCCCAAAGTGTTTTTCATGAATTTCTTATAGAAGCACTTTTGTAATTTTTCTTAATATATTCGGGCAAGTTGGCGTTTCTTGTTATTAATAATTATAATAATATTACATTTTATTTAAAAGACGCCTTTCTGGACACTCAAGGTCACCATACATAAAGCAAAAAACAAACACAGTGTCAGAAATAAAATGAAAACACTTAAAAAATACAGAGGCTGGAGGAACTATCAATAATAACTTATAAACTATTACATTGACATTCATTTTTGCCATCAAAATATCCATTTTTTAATGTTACAAAGGTAATAAGGTCTGTCCTGGATTCACACTATTGGCTTGAAATTTGGCTTTTCAAATGAGTGGCCTATAAAAGGTTAATGAATACATGGAGACAGTCGACCGTTTTGGACAAACCAGAAGAAAGAACATAAATATGAGATAAAAAACTAAAACTATCATTCTAAAACTCCAGAATCCAACACTGACCTCATTTATATAGCAGGCCTCTTCTTGTAACAGAGGGGATTTAGGAGCAGGAGGCCCCGGATGCATGTTTTCCTGCTGCTGAGTTCAGTGAGAAAATCTGTGCTTTTCTACCTAAAGGAGAAAATCCGCCTCCAAGAGCTCAGAGCCAAACCAGGAGACGTTTCTGCTTCCTCCGTGATAAACTTTGCTAAGTATGCAGATAAACTAAGAGATAAAGATGGAAAGCAGCACCTCAGCAGATAACGATGCCGAGATCGTTTTAATCTGGCTTTGCCAGAGATTGTCCCTGAATGAAACAGTTACTTTAATGGGGATAACTGTACAAGTTTGGAAGATTTAAGCTGCATTTCTGCAGCTAAACTGGAAAAATTTTATCTAGATAAGTTATTTTATTCCTTAAAATAAGTGCATTTTTCTTGGACTGAGGAGGTAAAAGAGACATTTTGCAAATGGAACAAGACAGATACTCTTTCCATTGGCAAATCGTCTCATTTACCTACTCAAATTAAGGGTAAATAGACTTAATTTAAGAAACTAGATTGTTTTTCCAGTGTAGAAAACTAAAACGGACCACCAGGCTTAGCTCCACCATCAACCAGCCGCTATTTGAAAGACAGCAGCTCTAGTAAATTACAAGGCAAGCTGCTGTCTTCCTTTAGAAAACAATTAGAGTGGGGGAGGAAGGCGGGACGTGACCGGGCCTGTGAGCGACTCGTCCTCCAGCTGCACCAGACTCTGCTTCCTGTCTGTCACCAAACTCACCCACCTTGCAAACGGCCGCCTGCAGGATGGCGTCGAACCCGCCCTCCGGAGCGTCCCGGTTCCGCGACACCAGCTGCTTCTGCACCTCCTCGTTGAAGCGGTCCACTTTATCGGTCAGAGAGAGGATGTTACGAAAGCCGAAGGTGGGGACGCAGTTTGGGAAGAGCTTGTATCTGAGAGGGAGACATGAGGGGGGATTAATCAAACGACAACCAGAATGAAACCATGTCTGAGAGCAAAATAATGAAATGCTGGATCCAAAACACTTCATCTAATACAGGGAAATAATGTATAATCAGCAGAATATCATCCTATGACCTACAGCAGACAGAAGGACATAAACATGTAATCCAGTAAATGACCAAATTTTTATTTTTAATTCACAAAAAGTTAAAAAACAATCCATGCAGCACTACAAAAAAGCACAAAAATGTCCAAATGTGTTAAGTATAAAATCATACAGCTCAAACTAACAAATCGAGCATATATTACACCTTATATTCTAAATAAAAAGGACAAAGAAAAGTGTAAATTGTGCTGGCATGGCTGTGGGTCAGAGGACACACTGCTGCATATGCTTTGGAAGTGTCCTCCTGTCCAAACATTCTGGAGGAATATAACAGACACATTGTCTCATATACTAGATATGAGACAATGTGCCCTCTGGATTGTCTACTTGGAATAAAGACTTAAGACTCTACATCAAAGAATGTGGACTATATCATATCACTGGGCTTTTTAGCAGCCAAACGTAGAATATTGCTGAACTGGATGGAAAGGAACTATAATTGTTTTTAGGGATGCAGGATATAATCGGCCCCCTATCGGTATCGGCCTTAAAACTGAATATCGGACATCGGCCACCCCACCGATATTTAACCCGATATTTGATCAGCTTCTGAGTTTCTAAAGTCTAAAAACAAAAAAAAAATACTACTTCTTC